GTGACAGCACTGTCAAGATTCGCGATGGAGGTTTCAGCAGTTGTCTCTAAATGCTTCTTAGAGGCCTTAATGGTGGGAAAGGGGCGAAAATTTATTCATGAGGAATTGTCGTGCAGTGATTGTGTGGCGGGATTTACGCGAACAAACAATGCAAACAAAGAAAAAATAATGACTCAAGAATATCAGCAACTGAGCACTGAGAATGTGCATGGCTTAGAATCGTGAAATTAGTTACTTTGGATATGCATATAATACGAGTAATATGGATCATAGTTCTAAATAAATATCTTTCTTTTCATAAAAACGTTAATGAAAACTTACGCTGAGTATATAAACGTCAAACATGAAAGCTCTAATATACTTTTGAGATATGCATTTGTTGCGAAATATGCGAATTACCTAAACGAAAACTGTTGCTTGAAAAATCAACAAAGAAACTTTATTAGCCTTAGTAATTTCAAAAAACACATCTGAAATTTACAGATTGTTACAACATAACTCTAACAGGCATTATAACGCAACAGACAGCTAAATATCTCTACACAAAAAATTACAAATCCATTATGTTGCGCAATATACTTTTGAGGTCGTAAATGACGAATTTCTGTGGATGACGTAAACAAACAGATTGCAAATGCCTTTACTGACTAAGGAGAAGCTGATTATTAGAATGCCATAAGTATAGTGAACACAGAATGGTCGAAATCGATCACTTATCTTTTATCTGATTAAAAATCTCTTATCGTGCTAATTCAAAGCTGGCGAGTAGAGGAACATGATCAGAAGCTGAGCGAAAATTGGGCGCATAGCTAATGTACTTGAACATGTCCTCCAAAGATGGAAGACTATAACGTTGTTTACATCGTAACAAATACGGCGACTGTAGGCATGTAGGATGGCAATCGAAGTTTTCTGTCGAAACCGCGGATCTGTGATAAAAAATGTAGTCAACATGGGACGCAACGCAGTTTACGAAGGAAGTAAAAACATGCCCTCGTTGTAAAGATGACTCGTCATAGACAGAATGAAGATTTAATTGATGACAGAGTAATGGTTGTTCTTCATCATTCGACAGTTCTTTCAGGAAGGACGCAAATTTGCATCTGTCTTCGGCAATTCCTAGCGATGGAGACAGTAGCGGGAAGTGCAGAACTCTACCTCCCGCGTGGCGTCCGCCGATATCCGCTGATTGCATGCCATCATAGCAAATCTTTCCATTCGTAATGAATGAAAACAGTGGACTCCATGGTGTCGTATTGAAATCACCGCAGATGATTACTGGATGAAAAACGGAAGGACCGTTACCTCTTCTGCATTCAGCCAACTAAAAGGCACTCTTTAAATAACCGGTCTCGAAAATAATAATGCAACACTCGAATTAGAAACTTAGTGAACAGTGCACATGCTGACCCATGTTTACTTACAAAATTGCATTGCATTACTGATCGTAAACTAATAGTGTATTACTAATTTGTTTTCAAGAAAGAGCATTATTGTAAGTTTCGAATATTTCAGTTTATAGATATATTTATTCCAGGCATCTAACCGTTCTTTCATAAACTAGGAAATATACACCTAGAATCTTTAACTTGAGATAATTAATTGAAGAATGCCACAGGAATAAATCAGTCTCTGTTCTAAGGTTTGGCATATTATGAATACATAGGTAACGTTATTGCGCTGCCTTCTTCCTGCCTTAATCATCAAATTGGTATGCGCGTGTAGGTGTTTCGTCATTTCAGAATGTAACGCTTCAACGACGTGTGAAATATCTTTTGGTATCGTTCATGAATCGTTATCATTAACGTTCCGGTAGGAAACGTACATGATGTGATGAAATCGCATTCTTCTTATTGAATATCCGTGTCGACGGTGTCCATCAACAGCTGAACTGCGATACAGAGTATCAGTTTTATAGACCCGTTCACTTTAGATACATGAACAAACGTGTTACTTCTCATTGTCACCGCCTTATCAGTCAACTGCTGTGATGATCGTTATAGATGTTGAGGCTATCAAACTGATGGCTAAAAATATGCTCGAACTCTGTTGAAACTATTATAGAAATATTAATTACATGCCTGGGAATGGCTGGTGACAATGTTTACATCTAGAAAGCAGGTGACAAAACCGATAATTACTGTTCAAAAACAAGATATTAACAGGTGGTAAACCTAGAAACCAAATCTTTAAAATGCTAGGACCTCTCGGCACTATACAACAGTATTCTTTTATACTTTATCAGCGTGAAGATAATCACTAAGACGCCGAAAAGAGAAACATTCATAAATTCAGCATATCGCCGTTTGTTTCCGTATCCTTTCTTTACGGTCCGCATATTGACTTCAGAACTCCTGAAAAATTAATATTTTCAAAAATGATCGTATAAATCGCATTCTTCATATTGGTGTAAAATTCTTCATTGTGAATGTTTTTCAAGTGCTTTTCTAGCATACATATGCACATGCATAGTTCACCTCCTAAAAAGCATTACTAATTTGTTTCGCGAATAATCCAATTAGAAGATAGTCGACTGAACCATCAACAACAGAGTAAACGAATAGCAAAACATTTGATTGAATAAATACTTTTTGGTATTCGATGTGTAAAAGATTTGTTCTTAACCAAAAATGCTACCGCTGAATCTGAAATGCAGTTATTTTTTGGATAATACCCTGAAACCTTGTTTTCTTTAGCAAATACTTTTAAAACTTTATAAAATGGAAGAATTCCTGACAGTGTTGGTAAAAGGCGCAGCTTTGGCTAGGGGCATATGGGAAAGTGAATAAGAGATGGCGAACTGAGTACAAAAATGAAAAGATGCAGCGAAACGTTACAGAAACACAATTACACTCTTACTGTCGCAGCAACATTGCTCAAAAAAGCTTGACAAGTAGATCTGAAATTGACATAAATTAACAGGTTTTAGAAAAGAAGTGAAATATACTCCGACCAGATAAAGTGCCTCCAGCGGCATTCCATCGCGTTACTTTGAATTCCGCTCCTTTCAAGTGAAAGTGCTACAGGTTTGAGCTGATGAATACGGATACTTCCTTGTGAAAATATTTTCTGTGAAAAGTTATGGATACATGCCCATACGAAGCAAAAGGTGGACGCAGTGATTAAGCTGTTAGCGGGAAACAAGAGGAGAAGGTAAGGAACAAACGGGAAGATTGGCACTGCGGTCTAGGGCATTATCTCCACGGTATCTGATACCATAGAAGGGAAAATTCGATGCACCACCCGAGGGCCAGTACGTCACATGGGAGTGAACGACAAAAACCGGGAAATGCGAGCGAAGTGTTTCGCTAGCGGCTGTGTTTTCGGATGGCCGTCTGAGCAGCGAAAAACCACTGCATAATAATGAAGATTAATGCATGGCGAAAATGCATAAAAACGCCGACAGCAGCTTATCGGAATACCGATGCGTGTTTCGTGCGTGACTTTTCCTGTTCTATGCGGCGTACAGACTGCGAGACGACAAAATTAAATGTAAAAAAAACGTACAAAAGTAAGATCGGTTGAGACCGAATATAAGATGGTTATAACTGGGCGAATACTTGCACTACAATAACTACAACTAATCGTTCAGGGGACGACAGTGATCTAAAGGGAAGAAATAACCTACCTGCTGCACATGGGCTAAAAGAATAGCCGCTTGAGCCAGTTTCAGGTCACCTCGCTTCGGATTGTAAATAAGATGTGTATTGCCAACAATCAGTCTGCATTGATGGCGATCTCGAGGACTTAATGAGACGATGACGCCTACGTTGTGACCAGTAAGTCTAGCATCCGGTCGGAAGAAAGTCAACTCACGGGAGTCGGTCAACGTAAACAAGGCTCTTCTCCAAAACGTGGCACAGCCATCGAGCTTGTCGCCGGTTCGCTGTCTGAAAATTCCGTCAAAGCCGGCCTGTTCGAAAAGTCGAAGATAGTATGGACCGAAAAAAGCACCATCCACTTCCTGCAGACAGAAGATGTCTGCGTCTAACGACTGCAGTTCATAAAACAAGTTTTGCCACCGATATTTCCAGCTGAGGTGCAAGGGCTCGCATCTACGGTAAAGTCTACTCGTGTTCTCTAAGCAGGATTGTGACAAAACGTTGTACGAGCATAGAGTGAAGGATATGCTGTCGTTCCCTGCGCCACTGTCTGGACGACGGCCACAATTCAGCGGTTCCCAAAGACGCTTTGTTACCTCATGCTCGACAAGTCGGCATTCAACAAGGGACTGCCTTTGATTCGCATCGCGGCTCAATGCACTATCTATGATTTTCCGTTGAATCCGTCTCTGAATCGAGGCAACTTGTAACAGTCGACGACTCACGTCGGAGAGTGACA